TCTCCTGGTTCATAGGTCGATGCTCAACTCCTGAGCCACATTGGCTGGGCTCTTCCTTCTCTCTTTTATTTCTCTTCTCGTTACTGGGCCCACAGTGGGTGGGGTCCATGGGCAGATGCATTTGCAGAGGGCCTTCATCCACAAAGACAGAACCTTCTCTCTGTGGCCAGGGAGAGAGAGGCAGAGCTCTGGCTGATTGCTCATAGGAGCTCTAAGAGGCCAGGGATGTCATCTAGGCAAAGCCAGGTCAGCCAGGTCAGGTGTAAAGTTTTTCATCCTCTTTAGGACTTGATCCTGCTAACATGGTGGTCATATAAATCACTGGAAACTCTCAGGGAGGCAACACATTTTTTTGTCCTGTCTGGGTGGCCCAGTTAAATTGGAGTGTTGTCCCATACACCAAAAGGTGTCAGGTTCAATACCCGTCTAGGGTGCGTGTGAGAGGCAACTGATAGATGTTTCTCCCCCACCCCTCTCCTTTCCTGTCTCTCTCAAAATCAGTCAAAACATATCCTTGGGTGAGAATTAAAAAGCAAAACAAAACAGAAAAACAAAAAACAATGTTTTAATTTATCCATTAATCTCCTGCATATTGAAGAAATGTTTAAGATCTGCCAGGCAGGGGACACCCATGGGGACTGCTCAGTCACTCTGGCAAGTCCACATGAGGATGGCCTGGCGGTAAAGGCTCCCCTCCTCTGGTCTGGGGTGGACCATTTTGAGGTGGCTTTTGTATATTGCTTCTGCCTCAGGCGGGCCTTTGGGCAGTTGAGCTACTCTTGGTAAAAGGGAGAAGCTTCTACAGTGAACTACCTGAACACATGTCCCAAACACATGACAAGAGACTCCTAGGACCTCCTGGTGCATCTGCGAACAACAAAAGTCATTCCCTTGATGACCAGTCCAGCAGTTCAAGGGAAGATTGCCCTGACTGCTGCAGACCTGGACCCTACAGATTAATGTCCTGCCAGCTGACCTTGTCAGGAGAGACTGAGGACGTGGAAAACAGCCTTGCTGGTAGTTAGCTAGCTCTTTTTATTTTTTTTTTTTAGGGAGAGAATGGAAGGGAGGGGGAGAGACAGAGAGAGAATGGAAGGGAGGGGGAGAGACAGATGTGAGAAAGAGACATTGATTGGTTGCCTCCTACACACATCCCAACCAGGGCTGGAGATAGAGCCTGCAACCGAGGTGCGTGCCCTTGACCGGAATTGAACCATGGGCTGACGTTCTATCCACTAGCTAAACTGGCTAGGGTTGGTAGCTAGGTTTTAATGTTCCTAAATGAAGATAAATAGCGCTCATAGAAAATAATGTCCATGTTGGAAGTAGACAGAAACAAGGCCATTTCTCAACAAGGAAACTGATTAACATCCCTCACCTTTGACTAACAAGATTCACTGCTGCTCCTTTACCAATCACAATACCAGCCCCTTCTTAATATTCCCATCTCTCAAAGAAAAGAAAATTGTGAATTATTATATTGCTTCTGCCTCTTGACAACATGGAATTTAGAATGTGCCCCTACTCCTTAGGAATCCCTCAGCACTTGCTCTGGCTGGGTAGCTTAGTTGGTTAGAGTGTCCCCCTGATATGCCAAGGTTGCGGGTTCCATCCCCGGTCAGGGCCCCATACAAGAATCAACCAGTGGGCCCGGCTGGTGTGGCCCAGTGGTTGAGCATCGACCTATGAAGCAGGAGGTCACAGTTCGATTCCCAGTTGGGGCATATGCACAGATTCATGCACATTGAAAGGAAGTTAATTAGAAGAAATATTTTAATATCGCTATTCGCCCTTTCTCTATAATAGAAGTGTCAACCAAATTCACGATCGACAATGACAGATCGAAACACACGCATGCGATTGGCACCAGCGAGAGCCTTATATGTATTGCGCATGTGCGAGTCAGCTTAGCCTTTTATATATATAGATATATATACTTAAATCCTTCACCTTCTTTCATCTAGCTCCCCATCCACCTCCTCTCTGATAGCTGACAGTCTGTTCCATGTATCCATGCCCCTGGTTCTATTTTGTTCATTAGATTCCATATTTACATGAGATCATGTGATACTTGTCTTTCTCTGACTGGCTTATTTCGCTTAGCATAATACTCTCCAGGTTATGACTTGACATCTTGAACAGTAGGCTCTATTTGAATGAGAGATAAAGGAACCTGGTGGAAAGGACCAGGGCTTGGGAATATGGTGAGGTGAGTGAGGTACTTGCACAACAGTTAATGAGTACCAACCAACCAAACAAAAAAGCTTCTGTAATCAAGATTTAAAATTTTAAAATAAAATATTTTTAAAAAATCAGAATTAAGGCCAAAAACCCACCCATGATGAGCACAGTCTCAAAATTTGAAGTGAAAGTTTGACCCTGCACTCGCATGACTCTGAGAGTGAGCACCGCACTTGCCTCACCCTAGTCCTAGCCTGGTAAGGACAGTGGCCAGCCATGCAGGGCCATCAGCTCTCTCCCACCTCTAGGACTGAGCCCCATTGAGAATATGGGCCACTCCTTACTAACCCCCAAGAGGGAGAGTCTGAATGCACACACTGCGTTAGGGAATGGTTGATCAGAGGGAAGTTGTTTCTACGTACATACAGTAGTCAGTCCCCTCTTGTGGTTTGGCTTTCTCAGGTTTCAGTTACCCACAGTCAACCACAGTCCAAAAAAAAAAAAAAATTAAATGGAAAATTCTAGAAACAAACAATCCATGTTTTAAATTGTGCACTGTTCTGAGTAGTATGATGAAATCTCATGCTGCCTGCTCAGGATGTGAATCATTCCCTTGGCCCAAATCTCCACAATATAGATGCTTGTCAGTTACTTAGTAGCTTCTCATTTATGAGATCAACTGTTGTGGTATCTTAGTGTATGTATTGAAGTCCCTCCTATTTTGCTTAATAATGGCCCCAAGGTGCAAGAGTAGAGATGCTGGCAATTAAGACATGCCAATGAGAAGCCATAAAGTGCTTCTTTTAAGTAAAAAATATGTGTGTATAAGAAAAAACATAGTTTATATAGGGTTCGGTACAATCAGCAGTTTCAGGAATCCACTGGAGGTCTTGGAAAATATATTCTGAAGACAAGGGGGCACTTCTGTAGTTCAATGTCAAGTAGATCTACCAGGGGCTCTTGTTGGAACAAGGAGATAGAGCAAATAAAAATGCCCCACTATGCAAATCTCCATAAAGAGCCACTCTATGACTGTAACTTAGTTGAGTGACTCTTGGGAGATTGTTAGAGTCATGTCTATGAGTCAGAAACAGTTTTGTAATTGTAAACTGCCAGGCTTGGATGACCTGTGAAAATATGCAAATATGCAAGGACTAGAAGAAGGTAAGACCCTGATCAAAGTGACTGTGTCAGAGAAATAGCAAAATGGTTGAATAACATCTTTTAAAGTTTTTCTTAGTGTTTTAATGTAATTTTTTCAATTAATAAAAAAATGAAGAAAGTGTCATAGCCACAAAGTTACCTATTGTACACAGCCTGGAGTTCAGTACACTTAAATGACGTGATTGTCTGAGCATGAAAGATGTGAGAGGTTTTATCAAGATCAAGATCTTGGTTTTCCTAACGGTCATCTTATTAGAAAACGCTAGATCAAGTTCTTATGAAGATACAATTCCTGTGGGAGGAGGCCTAACATAAGCATTCTGTATTAAAACTTACAAACAAGAGGGTTTCGGGCAGGGTCCTGTTAGTAGATTCCCTGTGTCCCATCATTTCTGAGTGGCCTCGCAGGCAGGGATTTGCCTGCCATGTGGGTTCTGCTCTTTCTCAGCTACCTGTAAATTGTCCGTTCTCACTTCTGAAATCTAAGATCCCGTTCCCCCTCTTCTCCTTTGTCCAACATGTCTTGGTAATATTCATGCCTATATGAACTCCCCATGTACATGTATTAAACTTTGATGTTTTGCCTGTTTAAAAAACACAAAAAACTATGGCCAGTGATTCTAATGTGTAGCCAAGATTGAGAACCAATGAGACCAGTGCTGTCCAACAGAATTCTCGCAGTGATGGAAATCTTGTACCTGCCCTGTCCAATAGACTGGCCCCCAGCCACATGTGGCTCTTGAGCTTTGAAATGTGGCTAGTGAACTGGATTTTAAATTTTGTTTAATTTTAAGTAATTTAAATTTAAATGTAACTAGCCTGGGACTCTGCTCTTTATTAGCTCACCAGGAGATTTTTCACAGTTGCATTTGGCAAACTTCCTGGGGATCTTGGCAAAATGCAGATTCTGATTTAGTTGGTCTGGGGTGGGGCCCGAGAGTCTGCATTTCTAATAGGTGCTTAAGGCCTGCCAATGCTGCTGGTCTAGAGACCACGCTTTAGGTAACATGGTTGTAGATTTTGGTTGTATTTGGGTGTTTTTTAAAAGGTAAATTCAAATTCCAAGTGGATGCTGTTAGCCATCTCCTTTTTTTCTTTGTTAAACTATATTTTTATTGATTTCAGAGAGGAAGGGAGAGGGAGAGAGAGATAGAAACATCCATGATGAGAGAGAATCATTGATTGGCTGCCTCCTGCACGCCTCACACTGGGGATCGAGCCCACAACCCAGGCATGCGCCTTGACTGGGAATTGAATGTCACCATAGGTTGACGATGGTTCATAGGTTGACGCTCAACCACTGAGCCACGTGGGCCGGGCCTGTTAGCCATTTTCAAATGTTCTTCTCAGTAACGTTTTTCAAAAATTAGTTTTCAAATTGAGGTAAAATTGACATATAACATGGAAATTTAAGGTGTCTACATTGATTTGATACATTTATCTATTGCAGTAAGATTGCCACCCTAGTGTTAGCTAATACCTCTATGACACCACATAATTATCATTTTTGTGGTGAGAACATTTAAGATTTAGTCTCTTAGGAATTTGGAAGTATTGTTGACTAGAATCACTATGCCGTGCATGAGCTCTCCAAGATTTACTCATCTTCTAGTTGGTAATAACCTTTGATAACATCTCTGCAATTCCCCCACCAGGGCAAGAGCTGTCTGGGACATCAACAGACCTTTCACTTCCCTCCTCCTGGTCACATCTGGTCAGCTACACTTTATCCTCATGCCCTAATTCCCTACACATTGAAAATGCTAGCAACACCTTGAAGACTAGAAAGAAGTAGAAATTCAAGGTAAGTGGCATCCTGGTCATATCTATATTTTGTGCAATGCATTATTTTTCTTTCACAATTTACTGCATGTTCCAGAAAAAAAGAGAACCTGTGTGTGTGGTGAGAGGGTTAGTCAATATGCATAGCAAGATGGTTGTTTCAGAAATTTGCTAATTGCCACAGATCACCGGATCTGCTTATGGCACGGAAATGGGGTTTGACGTGTATGTGCCAATGTTAAACAGTTGTATTTCCTATAGATAATAGAAAATTCCCTAAGATTATTGCTAACATTTGATAATAAGTGAAAATTCCTGATTAGTAAATAAAAGAGAAAAGGGGATATTTAGTGGGTCAGAAACATTAAATTGTCTTAACATGGACTGTCTTTTTAAGTCTCAGGAAGTTAAATGGATCTTTTAATGGGAAATAATGGGCACCCTCTCTCCCCTCCCCCCACATACTGGTGTGTTCTACAACACCACCCATAAGGCATGTAATTGCTCCTTTCTTAACAATACTACAAGGCTACAAAACTCGTATTTAGATAAAAGAACCTAATTATGCACTGTGCATCTCAGTTGCAGTCTTTCACAGATTGTTGCTACAGGAGAAAGGAAGGCTGTGTGAAAAGGCCTAGTCCAGCCAGCATGGCTCAGTGGTTGAGTGTTGACCTATGAACCAGGAGGTCACGGTTCTATTCCTGGCCAGGGCACATGCCTGGGTTGCAGACTTGATCCCCAGGGATGAGCGTGCAGTAGGCAGCTGATCGATGATTCTGAAATCAATCCTATATAATCCTATATAATAAAACCCTAACATGCAAATAGACCGAAGGGTGGAATGACCAGTTGCTATGATGTGCACTGACCACCAGGGGGCAGATGCTCAATGCAGGAGCTGTACTCAGCCAGAAGTGGGCTCATGGCTGGCGAGAGCAGCAGCAGTGGCAGGAGCCTCTCTCGCCTCCTCAGCAGCACTAAGGACCCCTCGGGGGATGTCTGCCCATGGGCCTATGTTGGCAGGCAGACATCCCCCAAGGGGTCCTGGACTGCGAGAGGGCACAGGCTGGGCTGAGGGGACCCCCCATGCTCCCAGTGCACGAATGTCATGCACCAGGCCTCTAATATATATATATCTTCCTGCCGAGTGAGACATACAAGTTTTTGACACTTCTTAAACTGTGCCTTCTCTTGTCCCACAGCGTCCCTCTGTGGTCTTTTGTAGGTTCTTTCACCATCAATTCCTCCTTTACTAATAATATCTCCATTTCTGTTTCTTATGGCATTGACCTACTATCTCTTTATTTCTTATAAATTATCATATAGCTGAGTTTTGTTTTGTTTTTAAAGTCATTTTGACATTTTTGGTTTTTTGATAGAATTAAGTCTATTCATGCTTGGCCAGTGTTGCTCAGTGGTTAGGCATCGACCTATGAACCAGGAGGTCGAAGTTTGATTCCTGGTTGGGCCACATGCCCGGGTTGTGGGCTTGATCCCCAGTGGTGGGCGTGCAGGAGGCAGCCGATCGATGATTCTCTCTTATTATTGATGTTTCTATCTTTCTCCCTCTCCCGTCCTCTCTTTGAAATCAATAAATCATATTAAAAAAAGAATTAAGTCCATTCACATTTCCTGAAATGACTGATATATAGTCATGTGTTGCTTTATGAAGGGGATACATTCTAAGAAATGCATTGTTATGTGATTTCATCATTGCACGAACATTATAGAGTGCACTTATACAAGTCTAGCTGATATAGCCTACTACACACCTAGACCTCTGTTTTTATTCATTCATTGTTTGGTGAGAATGATTTCTTGAGTATTTTCCTCAAATAGGTCATGTGGTTGTTAAAATTTTTTAATTCTTTTTTTAAAATATATTTTATTGATTTTTTACAGAGAGGAAGGGAGAGAGATAGAGAGTTAGAAACATCGATGAGAGAAAAACATCGATCAGCCGCCTCCTGCACATCTCCTACTGGGGATGTGCCCGCAACCCAGGTACATGCCCTTGACCGGAATCGAACCTGGGACCTTTCAGTCCGCAGGCCAACGCTCTATCCACTGAGCCAAACCGGTTTCGGCAAAATTTTTTAATTCTTAAAAAATTGAAAAAGTTCTTTTTTTACCCTGATGGATGAATGAAATACTAGCTGGGTATGAGATTCTTGGGCTGCAGTCCTTTACTTTTATTATCTCTAGATGTTATTTCAACATCTTCTAGCTTCTAGGACTTTCAGTGTTGTATAAGAGAAATCCAATATTCATCTTACTTTTTATTTGTAGATAACTTATTCTTTCTAATTGGAAACTTAATATTTATTTTTTATTCTTGAGATTTAGAATTTGACCAAGGTATACCTTAAGTGTGTATTTCAGCTATTGACACAATAATGCTGTGTAACTAACTACCACAAAAATCTCATCAGGCCCTAATCTCATCAGGTCGTTTGGCTCAGTGGATAGAGCGTCGGCCTGCAGACTCGGGTCCCAGGCTCGATTCTGGTTAAGGGCATGTACTTTGGTTGCGGGCACATCCCCAGTCGGGAGTATGCAGGAGGCAGCTGATTGATGTTTCTAACTCTCTATCCCTCTCTCTTCCTCTCTGTAAAAGATCAATAAAATATATTTTTTTAAAAATCTCATCGGCATCTATAATAATAAAAGCCTAAGTGACCATCGCAACAGAACGGACGACTGAACAGGCTGTGTGGGGCAACTAGGCCGGCAGGGGGGTTAGTGAGGGACGACCAAATGACTGAGCAGCAGGCTCTGTGGGGCAACCAGCAGAGGGGTTTGTGAGAGGCAACCAAATGACCGAGCAGCAGGCTGCGTGGGGCGACCAAGCCAGCAGAGGGGTTAGTGAGGGACGACCAAACGACTGAGCAGCAGGCTGCGTGGGGTGACCAGGCCCGCAGGGGGAGCACTTGGGGGTGACCAGGCTGGTGGGGGGGCAGTGAGGGGTGACCAGGCTGGCAGAGAGGGACATCCCTCAAGTGGTCCCAGATTGGAGAGGGTGCAGGCTGGGCTGAGGGGACCCCCCCCCATGCATGAATTTTGTGCACCAGGCATCTAGTTAAACAATAAGCATTTATTGGTCACTCACACATCTACAAATCTAGGCTGGGTTCAACTCTGAGATTCAGGTTGGGTCCATGTCTGCTTGATATATTTCTCATCCTACTCAAATCAGGTGCCTCAGAAAGCAGAAGTATAGAATGGTGAGCCCACTATGCAGGTGTAATTCAAGCTTCTGCTTGTATCATATCCACGAACAGTCCATTGGTCAAAGTGAGTCACATGGCCAACTTAAAGTCAAGATATAGGGAAGTACAACCTGCTCATTCATGTTAGATAAAGGGGAGGGGATTGTTAATTGTTGAATACTAATTTAATATACTACAATGTATAGATTAACTGTTGTAATTCTCATGGAACCTACTGGGACTTCTTGCACTTTTTCTCCCTTCCCTCCCTGTACTGCAACACAGAAATTTATGTGTGCACAAATGAAAGCATGGTTTTACTGGCAGGATCAGATGATTTAAATTGTAGATTTTAAAATTCTTTTAACTATCGGATAAATCAATGGCACATCCTCATTTCAAAAGAATTTAATGGCTACATCTGTTCTTCAAGTTTCTTATCTTTTCCCCTATGAGTTCCATATTTTTGAGATATTATGCTTTGAGATATTTCTTCCCCTTCACCCAGATTACTAACTCTGACTACAACTATAGCCATTCTCTCCTTTAACTCACCTAGTGCATTTTAAAATTTGAAATCATAGCATATAATTACAGAAAGTATGGGAAGATGTGTGCATGTATAGGATGACCACTTTATCCTGGTTTAAGCAGAATGTTCTGATTTTAGCACTGAAAGCCCCACAACCGTGGAACTCGCTCAGCCCTAGGTGAAATGAGACAGTTGGTCACCCTAATGCTGGGATTAGGGTGAATCTCTTCAAATCCTAATTTTATTTTTTAAGTTGTTATCTGTGTCCTCTATTAATCCTGTTTTGCTGGGTGCATGTCCTGTTTGATCTTCCTCCTCCTGGCTGCTGGGAACTCTTACATGACTTGTTATTTCTCTTTGTCTGCTAGACTGAGACCATCTGGGTCTTGCCTGTCATGCACAGGGCTTGGAATGAATTTAGTCATCAGCTTTATTGGTATTGGGGGAAAGGAAAACTTACAAGGCCTATGTTCCAGTGGAGGGACTTGCACCCTTATTGCTCTGCTTTTATAGGGTGAGCATGAGAAAACAATCCCAGCAATGAAAGGAGGCACCAAGTACTTGGGTGCTAGGCAGTCTGGAGTTGGACTCTAGCTATTTAAAGAAATTACCTGGGAATTCCAGCTGCCAGCACATGAAGTTTGTTGGGAGACACTTCTCCATGGGTTTCTCTTGCTTGTGCACATTTTGTGAACAAAGGCACTGATGGCTTTTATTTTGGACTAACTTTCTAAGGAAGTTTGTATAGTGAACAGCCTTAGGAGACAGAGGTAGTGAGGCCCTCTGGTGCCAAAGGCAAATTTGTTTGTTAATGGGCATAATACAGACAGTGTCTGCCTCTAGAGTAAAACTTGGGCAGGTTTACTTGCAGCCCCATTTAAAATACTGGGGTTTCCTAAGTGTGGGTTCCTCCCCAGTGGCACACACCCACTTGGGCCCACCTCAGTGTTGGGAACCAATGCAAACATGAAGTTCATGCTGCCTGTTGTGCTACGAGTAATAAAGTCATTTATCTCTGACCCAATATTCTTGTACCTTCTGTTGGTATCCATGAAACTAACTTTTAGCTTGCAAGCAGGGAAAGTCTTATACCCGTCACAGTTTCTCAGCAGAGCCCTTTAGAAGTGATGTGCCCTCCTGTCAAAACTCTGAGTTCAGTGGAAGTGCCTCCATACTCTGCTCCACCGAGCAAGCCCAAATGAGGCTACTTTAGATAATTCTGCTTATTTTAATACGGTGAATAACGGGCAACTGCATGGTGTTCTGTAGTCCCTGATCTC